ATATATACAACCGATTTTTTTTTCATTGCCAGCAACTATAAACTGGAAATATGAAAAAAAGTTAACTGAATAAATGGGTAAACACTTGTAACACTAGACTATAAGGTTATACAAGATTAAAAGTTTTAAGTACTATTTATTATACCTGAGTGACATTATATACTTTTTTTGGGAAAAATATTTAAGGCTTTTGAGTTTTAAGTTTTCCAATATATTGAAGGATATTCATCATATTACTTTTTTGGCAGGACAAGAACTGAAACAGAAATAAACTAGAATTCAGAATGAATAATTCTTGCTACATACACTTTCCAGATTATGTATATTCCTACATATATTAGGAATGTTTCTGTAATTGTCTGAGAAATAGAGATTTGAATACAAAATTAATACCAAAACGTATGTGCATTTTTGGAAGTTCTGAGTCATTGGGAGCAATGGCATTTTTCTCTGTATCACAAATTGTTACAAATACTTTCTTTTTACTATTAACATTGGAACAGAAGATCTCCTGTTCTGAGACTGACTGGCAGGCAGAAATGACATGGACAGGAAATGGGAAATGGTTCAGGGTCTTGGAATTCCCCTGGCTGCCTAAATCAAGTGGCTGGTTATTTGGAAGTTTTTGAAATGTTTGCCCCCTGGAGTTCCCCTGAGAGAAGAAAGAATCTAATTTCATTGACAAAGAGTATCTTCAGAGTACATAAAAATCAGTTTCACTGCAATACAACAAAAATTTACCGCATGCCACTATTTGAGACACTACTAGACAGGGGTGAGACAAAAGATCCATGCCTAGCAAAACCAAGATTTTTTTTTTTTAATTTTTTTTTGCGTGTTAGATGAAGGTTTACAAAGCAAATTAGTTTCTCATTAAACAATTAATACACATATTGTTTTGTGACATTGGTTGCCAAACCCACGATGTGTCAACACTCTCCCCTTCTCGACCTTGGGTTCCCCATTTCCATTCGTCCAGCTTTTCTGTCCCCTCCTGCCTTCTTGTCCTTGCCCCTGGACTGGTGTGCCCATAGTCTGTATTATTGTTTGTTTTATGGGCCTATCTAATTTTTGGCAGAGGGTGAACCTCAGGAGTGATTTCAGTACTGAGTTAAAAGGGTGTCCAGGGGCCATACTCTTGGGTTTCTCCAGTCTCTGTCAGACCAGTAAGTTTGGTCTTTTTTTGTGAGTTTGAATTTTGTTCTACATTTTTCTCCAGCTCTGTGTGGGACCCTCTATTGTGATCCCTGTCAGAACAGTTGGTGGTGGTAGCCGGGCATCATCTAGGTGTACTAGACTCAGTCTGGTGGAGGCCATGGTAGTTGTCGTCCATTAGTCCTTTGGACTAATCTTTCCCTTGTGTTTTTGATTTTCTTCATTCTCCCTTGCTCCAGATGGGGTGGGACCAGTGTAGTATCTTAGATGGCCGCTCACAAGCTTTTAAGACCCCAGACGCTACTCATCAAAGTAGGATGTAGAACATCATGTTTATAAACTAGGCTATGGCCATTGAGCTAGATGTCCTTTGAGACCATGGTGCCCAGACCTCAGCCCAGTAATTCGGTCCCTCAGGGAGTTTGGATACGTCTATGAAGCTTATATGACTTTGCCTTGGTCAAGTGGTGCTGACTTCCCCAGTATTGTGTACTGTCTTACCCTTCACCAAAGTTACCACTTATCTATTGTCTAGTTAGTGTTTTTCCCTCCCTACCTTTCCCCTTCCTCTTAACCATCAAAGATAGTTACTGTGTGTAAACATTTTCATAAGCTTTTATAATAGTGGTCTCATACAGTATTTGTCCTTTTGTGATTGACCTATTTCACTCAGCCTAATGCCCTCCAGATTCATCCAAGTTGTGAGATGTTTCGTAGATTCATCATTGTTCTTTACCATTGCATAGTATTCCATTGTGTGTATGTACCATAGTTTATCCATTCCTCTGTTGATGGACACTTAGATTGTTTCCAACCTTTTGCTACTGTGAATAATGCTACAATGAATATGGGTGTATGGCTATTCATGTATGGCTCTTATTTCTCTAGATATATTCCCAGGAGTGGGATTGCTGGATCACATGGAATTTCTATTTCTAGCTTTTTAAGGAAGCACCATACTGTTTTCCAAAATGATTGTACCATTTTGCATTCCCACCAGCAGTGCATAAGAGTTCCAATCTTCCGGCAGCCTCTCAAACATTTGTTATTTTCTGCCAGTGATGTCGGCGTAAGATGGTATCTCATTGTAGTTTTGATATGCATTTCTCTAATGGCTAGTGATCGTGAACATTTCCTTACGTGTCTGTTAGCTAATGTGTTCTTTGGTGAAGTGCCTGCTCATATCCTTTGCTCATTTTTTAATTGGACTGTCTTTTTGTTTCAGAGGTGTTGGATCTTCCTACAGATTTTAGAGATTAGACGTTTGTCAGATTTGTCATAGCCAAACATTTGTTCCTAGTCTGTAGGCTCTCTTTTGGTGAGGTCTCTCTCTCTTTTTTTTTTTTAATTGTACTTTAGATGAAGGTTTACAGAAAACTAGCTTCTCATTAAACAGTCAGTACACATACTATTTTGTAACATTGGTTACCAACCCCACGACGTGTCAACACTCTCCCTTCTCGACCTTGGGTTCCCTATTACCAGCTTTCCTGTCTCCTCCTGCCTTCTAGTCCTGGCCCCGAGGCTGGTGTGCCCCTTTAGTCTTGTTTTGTTTTACGGGCCTGTCTAATCTTTGGCTGAAGGGTAAACCTCAGGAGTGACTTCACTACTAAGCTAAAAGGGTGTCTGGAGATCCTACTCTCGTGGTTTCTCCAGTCTCTGTCAGGTTAGTAAGTCTGCTTTTGAGTTAGAATTTTGTTCTACAATTTTTCTCCAGCTCTGTCCAGGACCCTCTGTTGTGATCCCTGTCAGAGCAGTTGGTGGTGGTAGCCGGGCACCATCTAGGTGTACTGCACTCAGTCTGGTGGAGGCTGTGGTAGTTGTGGTCCATTAGTCCTTTGGACTAATCTTTCCCTTGTGTCTTTAGTTTTCTTCATTCTCCCTTGTTCCCGACGTAGTGGGACCAGTGGAGTAGCTTAGACGGCCACTCACAAGCTTTTAAGACCTACACATTACTTGGTGAGGTCTTTCGATGAGCATAAGTGTTTAATTTTTAGAAGATCCCAGTTACCTAGCTTATCTTCTGGTGTTTGTGAAAACCAAGATTTTTTATTTTACAATTTCATTTCTATCACTTAACTATTTAAATTTTGATAAATGGACTCCTCTGTGGTTCATTTAGGTATGTATTATTCATTAAATATATATGTTGTTAGTTGCCATTGAGTCGATTCCAACTCATGACGATCCGATGTGTGCAGAGTAGAACTGCTCCATGAGGTTTTCATGGCTGTGACCTTTTGGAAGCAGATTGCCAGGGCTGTCTTCCAAGGCACCTCTTGGTATGTTCTAATTGCCAACCTTTCAGCTAGCAGTTGAGTGTTTAACCGTTTGTACCACCCAGGGACTCCTCTCATCCCCCCGAAAATATATTTATATATATATACCTATACATATAGTCATACAAATACACATATATAATACATATACGTACAGAGAGAGAGACATAGACATACCCTGGGTAGCACAAATGACTACAAACTGAAACTAACCCGTTGTGGTAGAGTGGATTCCGACTCATAGCGACCCTATATGACCGAAAGAACTGCCTCATAGGGTTTCCAAGGCTGTAATCTTCACGGAAGCAGACTGCCACATCTTTCTCCCGCTGAGTGGGTTCAAACCACTGACCTTTCTGTTAGCCCAGTGCTTAGTCCCTGCGCCACCAGGGCTCCTTGAAAACCCTATGGAGTGCAATTCTACTCTGCACACGTGGGGTTGCCTTAAGTCGGAATGGACTAGATGGCAACTGGTTTGGTTTTATATATATAATGTACATATCCTGTTGCTGAGTGGTGTAGATTCCAATTCACGGCAACTAGATGTGTTATAGACTAGAACTGCTCCATATGGCTTTCTTGGCTGTAATCTTCATAGAAGCAGTCTGCCAGGCCTTTCTTCTGCTGCACTGCTGGGTTGGTTCCAGCGCTAATCTCTAGGTTACTAATCAAGCCCAAACAGGTTGCACTACCCAGGGACCACACACACATATATATATTCTATTTCATTTAAAATTTCAGAAAATATTGTGAGTGAAGATTGGCCTGAAATAACCGTTCACGTTGCTCACAATGAGCCTCTTAAATAAGAACACTTCTTCGTTAGTCCGTATGTCTCCAGAACAAAAAAACTCAAAAGTTTAAAAACAAACGAAAAATTAAAAATATACACTGGCTGATTAATCAAAATTAATCTTCTGATGCTGTACTACTTTCCAGTACTTCAAAACTTCGCATTTTTCAATTTTGGCGCCTAGCTGCTGCCTGTTGTAATCGGTAAAGATCAGAGTGCTACGCAGTTTTACTCTGAAACAAAGTTACAAGTGTTTACTTAATAGAAGCAAAAATGCCACTGGATTGACTCCATCCCCAAACACAGTCATCTATGGCGACAGGAGGCATCACACTAGAGGAATTTTGCCAGGGGCGGGATCATAACTCTGAGGCGACATGGGGGAAGAAGCGCAAAACCACTGATACAAGGGCGTTTCCGCAGGGTTTCCCAAGATTCAAACTCAACGGCTCGAAGGTTGCCACGTCCCGCTCAGTAAAATGTCAGGGCCGAAGACAGAAGGAAGCGTTAAAAGAGCGCAAACGTCGAGATTAAAAAACCAAACACCGAGTTGATGTGGATGGTCCCGCCTCACCCCGCGGGCTGACAGCGCAGCTCCAGGTGGGCGCCCACGCTGGGCCTCCCCGCGTCCCTCCCGAACGCACATCTCTTCGTAGCGAACCCGCACTCCTCCAGCGCTCCGGCCGCAGACTCCCCTCCGCCCTCGGCGCCGGTTGACGCGGCTCGCGGCCAAGCGCGCTGACGTCACCGTGCGTCGGCGTCGGCTCAGCTTCGCCAGGGGGCTTCGGAACGCAGGACCCGGGCCCAGGGCAGCTTCAGCCCGTGTCATTGCAGCTGTTCCCCGGACGCGAGGAGGCCGCCGGTAGGCGGTGTGCTGCTGCGCTGCTTCCGTCTTTGCTGCGCCAGCACTGCGGTGAGTGCAGCTACTTCCCGGCTCGGGCCGCGCGAGAGCGCGCGAGGCGGGTTAGGACACTCCACCCGCCGCGGCCCAGGACACTCGACCCGCCGCGGCCCAGTTTACTGAAGCTGCGGCCGGACGAGGGAGGACAGGGTCTGGGGCCCCTCGGCCGAAGGTCCAGGGCCGCAGCGAGCTCTGCCCTCGCCGCGGCTTTAATTTAATTCAGAAGCCTGAATTTCAAGACTCGCAAGTCGAAAGTGATTTTTAAAAATTGACTTGTTTTCATGCACACTCTAGCCACCGCCCACTTTTCCGGCCTTTGGACTTTGACCAAGATTTTTTCTCTTAGAGTTTTTGCAAGGTTTTAAACTTGGCCCTCGATGTACCTTTAATTTGGTATATTTAAACGGAGACAGCCCTGTGACGGCGGGATCTCGTATTTCAGATAGTTCCAACTGCGCCCTGCCTCTTTAAGTAGTCTGTTGTGTATTGTGAAAATTAACTCCGGGAAATGAATGGGCAAATTCCATAGTTTCTACTTTTCCCTTCCAATCTCTCCCCCTCTTTTTTTTTGCATAAAAAGAGCAACATCAGCTTGTAGCTAAAAATCCGAATTTGAATATATGAGACCTGGTGTAATTAAAGCACGCTTGCAAGCGGTCACATTCCCAAGGCGTGTGTTTCTCAGGCCATTGTGTTGTTTTGTTTTCCAGTTGCTTTCCATGGTTGTTGCTTTGGAATTGTGAGGGAATTGTAGAGTTTAAGTGTAAGGATTTATAGTAAGCAACTCCTGATTCTTACTATACTAGGCAGTTTGCCTAGTCCTGGAGAGGCTTGACGTTAAAAAATAACGTTTGTGTCTAATTACTGCTGTATTGTTGCTGATAAGTAATAGTGGTGCCTTCTTTTCTTACCACTACCTCCTTTTTCCTCCCGCAAACTGCCAGATTGTATCCTTAAACTATTAAAAGCTGTCACCAGAAGAGGTGAGGAAACCAAGGACAAAAAATGTTTTCCCATATGGAAAGGCCCTCTTGCCTTCAAAGTTGTATGCGTCGCTAACGTATAATTAATGTTAATGGGAGTATATTGCATTTATTTATTTCAGTTAAGAGCTTTTCGATTTTCTGATCAGAAAGTGTTGTGACAAATTGCTGGAAATAAGATGTATTGTCTGAAGTGTAAATCCTTTTTAGACTTTATTGAATAAATGGAAGCATCTTTGATTCTATTTGCCATGAAAATAAAGTTTTCTAAAATAGCTTTTTTTTCTTTTCAGATTTTACAGCCTTGAAGAGTCTACTTTTTTTTTTTCACCTGCAGTAATAAATCCCACTATGGAAACCCAGAAACTTTATAAAGGGATATAGTTTGAATTCTGTGGAGTGTAATTTTGTGTATGAATTATATATTTAAAATACGAAGTGTTTTCAGAAAGAAGGCTAGTAGGATTACTGGTACATTATGCATAAGCAGTAATTCTGTTGGTAATATTGGTAATATTTTATTAGGCATTTGTGATAACACTAGAAAAGACAAGTTGTATCTTTTGATGAATTACTTCATCATTAATTACAGAATGGATGCATGGTCCTTAAATGAACGACAGGGTATTTAATTTTTAAATGCAATGTAAAACGTTACTGCTTTGGAAATTTTCTGGTTAAGTAGTTAAGTTTATGGAAAAAATAGATTGATCAAGTACATAAAGTGGTGTGCAAAGTTAGTAAGGAAGACAACATAATAATGGTGGTGTGGGAAGTGGAAACATGTATAGAAAATATTTAACAAAGATGGAAAAGTTAATACTTTGTGACCTTTAAGCAAAATTTATTTCATTTGATATCATATACACCCTAACAAGCTTAGGTTCAACAGAACTTGTAGGTGTTGACTTCCCCAAAAGTTGTTACTGAAGCTAACAATCCACTTAAGTTAATACTATGATGAGAAGCTATATGAAATAAGTTTTTAGATAATGTGACTATATGAAGGCTTTAATTAGTTTACTAGAATAAAACAATAATTTTTTTGATGTCATATTAAAGTGCCTATAGGGAAAGAGGACTGATGCATATAATTTTTTTCCTCTTGTATCCAGGCTTTGTAGTTTGTAATCAAAAGCAAATTAAGGGCATAATTTAAGTATTCTATAGTTGCTTAGCTTAAAATGTTTGGAATATAACCTCTCTGAAAAATCAGGGGTTTTTAACATACTTTCAGAAGTGTACCGACTTCTTTCAGACCATTAGGTTAGTGTTACACTAAATTATAAGCAAATAGCACTTGAGTGACCTAAAAGATTTAATATAGTCCCAGAGAGTACTAAGTGGTAACTTGGTAACCTAGAAGAAGTAGCCATCAGGTAACCTAGGCATTAAGTAGGATGCCTGAGTGTGCACCCAGGTATAAATCCAGTAAAGAAGGTATAGTGAATTCTAGATAAGTAGGAGGTTATCATCTGATTCCTTTTTGTAAGTGAAAATATAATTTAGTGTGAAGAGATGAGAAGTTTCATGTGAAAGCCTTTAGCCATCAGAAATTAAAATCACCTTCTCATGCACAAATCTACCTTCCAAAGACTTGTCCCAAGTCCCTCTCAACGAAAATTTAAGAATATAATGGAAGATAGCAAGATCTTGTCAAATTGGACAAACAGCAACAAACAAAAAATGAAATATGACTTTTCATGTGAACTCTACCGAATGTCTACATATTCAACCTTCCCCACCGGTGTTCCCATCTCAGAAAGGAGTCTTGCTCGGGCTGGTTTTTATTACACTGGTGTGAACGACAAGGTCAAATGCTTCTGTTGTGGTCTGATGCTGGATAACTGGAAACAAGGAGACAATCCTACTGAAAAGCATAAAAAACTGTATCCTAGCTGTAGTTTTATTCAGAATTTGGTTTCAGTTACTAGTCTGGGATCCACCTCTAAGAATACTTCTCCAATGAGAAACAGTTTTGCACATTCATTATCTCCCACTTTGGAACATAGTGGCTCATTTAGTGGTTCTTACTGCAATCTTTCACCAAACCCTGTTAATTCCAGAGCAGTGGAAGACATCTCCCCGTTGAGGACTAACCCCTACAGTTATGCAATGAGTACTGAAGAAGCCAGATTTCTTACTTACCAGATGTGGCCATTAACCTTTTTGTCACCATCAGATTTGGCAAGAGCTGGCTTTTATTACATAGGACCTGGAGATAGGGTAGCCTGCTTTGCCTGTGGTGGGAAACTGAGTAACTGGGAACCAAAGGATGATGCTATGTCAGAACACCGGAGACATTTTCCCAACTGTCCATTTTTGGAAAATTCTCTAGAAACGCTGAGGTTTAGCATTTCAAATCTGAGCATGCAGACACGTGCAGCTCGACTGAGAACATTTATGTACTGGCCATCTAGTGTTCCAGTTCAGCCTGAGCAGCTTGCAAGTGCTGGTTTTTATTATGTGGGTAAGAAAGAAACTAATATGTAGCTATACATTTATCTAGTTCATTTTGATCTACTAACTAGAACATATGTGTATTCAGTTTTGGCCTTTATTTTCTTTAGGTCGCAACGATGATGTCAAATGCTTTTGTTGTGACGGTGGCTTGAGGTGTTGGGAATCTGGAGATGATCCATGGGTAGAACATGCCAAGTGGTTTCCAAGGTGATTGTTTTGCAAAGTTCTGCCGCACAAAATTGTGCTTAAAAGAAGTAGGGATGCTCACGTGATGGAAGTTTGCATTTAAATTATAACAAGGCCGCTTTGATACCATTGGGGAATTAGCCTTTTACAAGACCGAATTTTAATTTTTAATTATTTTATTGAGAAGAATTCTAGAAGTTCTGTGTGCTTTTCTCTTTTGTCAGCCAAAAGAATATAATTTAGCTTATTCTTGGTGACTCATTTATAATTATGGCCATAAATTTCATTTATATATGTCCCATCTTGATTTAAGGAGCCAGGGTGACACAAGTGGTTTGTGATTTGCTGCTGACCTGAAGTTTGGCAGTTCAAACCCACCCAGTGGCTTCATGGAAGAAAGGCCTGGTGAACTGCTTCTGTAAAGATTACAGCCGAGAAAACCCTGTGGAACAGTTCTACTCTAACACATGGGGTTGCCATGAGTCAGCCTTGACTTGATAGCAACGGGTTTTTTTTGTTTTTTGTTTTTGGTCATCTTGCTTTAAAGAGAAGTTAAAGACAAAAAGGAAAACGAGAAGGGCTATAAAATCGATCTAGGAATGAGGCAAATACAAAGATGCATATAAAATCTTATTGCTAAGTTTGATTAGAATTGTAAATTATTTTGTATATCCAGTTTTATTTTTTGTGATACGTCACTTATCACCTTTTCTTAAAGCCACTCTGTCTCTGGCCATGCCTCCTATTTTCTATTATAACCTAGGAATAATTTACATGTGTTGTTAGTGGAAATATAATTAGATTAATTTATCTTTGTTATTAAGTAGCTATGTGAACTTGGACAAGTCGTATGACCCCTTTGAACCTCTTTCCTCATCTGTAAAATTAGGTGTTGGACTACTTAATGTTTTAAGCTGTGAGTATCTTTGACAGTGAGTTATGAGAGTCCTTAATATAAATACAAGTCTTTTATCAGATGTGCTTTGCAGTCTTTCTACAGTTTATGGCTTTTTGTTTTCATTTTCTTAACAGTGTCTTTTGAAGAGAAGAAGTTTTTAATTTTGATTATGTCAGTTTATCCATTTTATCTTTTATGGATTGTGCATTTGGTGTCTTGTCTAAGAATCTTTACCTAACCCAAGCACAAAAAGATTTTTCTCCTATGTTTTCTTCTAGAAGTTTTATAGTTTTAGGTTTTACATTCAGGTATATGATCCATATTTAGGTTAGTTTTGTAGATAGTATGAATATAGGCTGAAGTCGATTATTTTTGCATGTGGATATCCAGTCTTCTAGCACCGTTCCTTGAGAAACAAAAGGAATGAAATGGAAACAGATGTTATCTGAACTACCTGAACACCTTTGAGAAGCCCTGGTAGTTTGCAAACAACTATTGGGAACTGTCACATTATGTATAGGTGAAAATATTTGAGATGTTGTAACACTGGAGAAAATTATTACCTTGTGAAAATTGGGACTACTGAGTTACAGTTTCTGAAACTATGTTAGGTCAAAAAAGTAAATTGTCTAGAACAATTTCCTGCCTCGGTTTATGACCCTTTGTGGGTCCAGGCCCTTTTATTGTTGTTGTGTTAATGGAATAGAATAGACAATATCAGAATACATCTCACATAGAGTTTGTACTATTTTATGGGAATTTTGTACTGGGTTGTGTAAAATGTATTTTTTATTGTGAAGTACAATAAGAGATGTTTCAAAACCACTTTTCTAGAATGATCAGGTTATATTTTATATAAAAGAATAAAAAAAATTTTCCTCTTATTTTTAGGTGTGAGTTCTTGATACGCATGAAAGGGCAGGAGTTTGCTGATGAGATTCAAGCTAGATATCCTCATCTTCTTGAACAGGTAAATAAATTATTATAATTGGCAACATTGGATTCTCCTAAATGATAATTACAAAAGAAATCATGAAAAGTGATATTTACATCTGTTTTCTTATTAAAGTACATACTTTGTATCCACGTTAATGACGTCTTTAATTTTAATTTTTGTAACCAATTTATTGGGCTTTTTGAAAAACTATTCTTTGTTTTTTGAAAGAAAAATAATTGAACCTGCTACTTTACAAACCTGTGGTGGGGTTAGAGAAGGGTCTTTAGTGCCTCCATCTTTTTTAGGAAAAATAAACAAAAAATAAATTATTAGGAATTAGGGGCCTTTTAGAGTAACCCAGTTGAAATCTGACTTTCTAAATTGAGTAAGAAAATTTTTTCTACTTTCCTGAAACCACAGAAACTCTTGAATTCTTATTTGGAAATAGGTGAAGTTTGGGGAAATCTATGGGATGAATAGAGTAACACAAAGCAATTTGAAGTTTATAAATTGCCCGGTTTTCAAAAGAATATGTACATTTAATTAAGATAAACTTAACTTACTGTTACTGTTTTCACGTTGTTTGAGATTTCTGATTTTACTTATTAACTTATCTCCTGTTTCATAGTTGTTGTCAACTTCAGACACTCCTGGAGATGAAAGTGCTGATCCACCCAGTATGTATGAAAATTTTTCAGATATCAAATTGGAATTTTTATAAGGATGAAAGTCTGTAAAGAATGGGTTTCTGAGGCCATAGGAAAAAGTGTTCAGAAGTTAACAATAAGATTATGTATCCACTGGGGAGGCCTGATAGTGCAGTGGTTAAGCACTCGGCTGCTAACCGAAAGGTTGGCGGTTCAAACCCAGCAGCCACTCTGTGGGAGAAAGATGTGGCAGTCTGCTTCTGTAAAGATTTAAAACCTTGTGTCCTATAGGGTTGCTATGAGTCGGAATCTACTCAATTGCATCCAACAACAAGAACAAAATGTATCCATTAAGAGTCATAGCATTTTAGAGGATTCTAGAAAGTGTGAGAGGAGCCCTGGTGGTGCAGTGGTTAAGAGCTGACTGAGAGGTTGGTGGTTCGAACCCACCAGCCACTCCCCAGGAGAAAGATGTGGCAGTCTGCTTCGGTAAAGTTTATAGCCTTGGAAACCCTATGGGACAGTTCTACTGTATCGTAAAGGGTCTCTATGAGTCAGAATTGACTTGACAGCAGTGAGTTTGGTTAATGGAGGAAGTGTAATAGTCTTTGTTCTTAAGGTGTGGGCGTTTTACCTGGGGAGATAAGATACCTGCAAAAGAAAGACAACAACAAATAGTTTACAGCAACACCAAATGAGTGATGCAAATAATAAGCCCTCCAAAGAGGAGAAGGTTGCTGTGAGCTAGCATAATTTGGAAAGGACACCACTTCACATATGATTTAAGAATTGGGCTAAATGTTAGGTATTTAAGTCAGATATATAGTATTTAGTGGAGCCTGAGTGGCACAAGCAGTTTGTGATCAGCTGCTAACCTAAAGGTTGGCAGTTCAAACCCACCCAGCTACTTCGAGGAAGAAAGGCCTGACAAACTGCTTCTGTAAAGATTATAGCCAAGAAAACCCTATGGAGCAGTTCTACTCTTAGAACAAGTTCAACGTGGGGTTGCCATGAATCAAGGGCCAACTCGATGGCAGCTGACAACATAAAGTATTTTAGTTCGAGAATAGGAAATAGTTTCTCTTCTGGTTAGAACTTAATTTTAGTCACATCTGTCATTAGTTAATGTGTGTAATGTACATATATCATGATATTCAGAACAGTGAAGATAATAGTCCATTAATCACATCTAGAAAGGCATATTCTATTCTTGGCATGCCATTTTAAGAGGGATATTGGCAAATCTGTAGCAGGACCAGAAGTGGGTGACCAGGGTGTATAAGATCCTAGAAACCATGGATAGGAGGAATGGTTGAAGGACTTGGTAATATTTGACATGGAAAAGATTACTTGGGTACATAACTGTCTCCTGTGAATAAAGCTAGAAAAAAAAGGCAACTGTGCTGACTGTTCTTAAGATTTATAACCACAGTTCTCAGTGGGCACTTTATATTGCCCTGCAATCCAAATGGAGTTCTCTAATAAAATGACTTTGCTAATCTTCAAAATGACTGTCTCACATTTTCTTTCCCCTTAAGCTTCTAAGAGTCATCCCTTCCTTACTCTAAGCTCATAACCTTGCTTTACTGAGAAATAGAAGCAATCAGAAGAACCACCAGTCTACATGATGTATCCCATATACTTTCCTTTCTGTTCTTTTGAACTATCCTTGCTCCTGTCTAAGGCCAGTCCTTCCATTTGTCCTCTGCATCCCATTCTCTATTTCTACCTTAAGAGCTTTGCTTTGGCAGTGATCTACCCTTTCTCTCGTGCATCACTGATTTTTCTCTCTCCTGGGTCATTCACATACAAGCATGATGTAATATTACTGATACTAAGAAAACCTTTTCTTGAACTTGTGTCACCATCTAGGTATTGTTCCATTTCCCTGCTGCTCTTTGCAACAGAATGCCTGGAAAGATTTATCTGTACTCACTCTACTCCTTCACCTTCCATTCTTTTTTTAACTTGTTCTACAAAAAAACTTGTCAGGGTAACCAGGAACCTTTATCTTAGCAAATACACTGATCGGTTCCCTGTCCTCATCTTAGTTGATCTTTTGTCAGCATTTGACACAGTTGAATGCTTCATTCTTCTTGAAACATCTTCTTTGCTTGGCTTCCTGGTACACAACTAATTTTTTTGCTATTTCCTTGGTTGGTCCTGAACATTTGCTGGCTGTTCCATTTTCAAACCTCTAAATGTAGGTCCAGGCTATTTGGCTATAATAGGCGTCTCAGAGTTAACATGACCGAAGCAAAAATCTCCCATCCTCATCCCTTAGATTTGCTCCTTCTCTAGTTTGCCCCATCTCAGTTAGTGGTACCTATTTGCTGAGGTCAAGAAGTTGGCTCTAGTTAGACATCATCCCTGATTCCTCTCCTTTACTTTGTATATCTATTAGAAGTTCTTCCCCATCTACATTCATAATATATCCCAAATCTGACTACTTCTCACCTCCACCACTATCCACCTAATCCAGACTACCATCGTCTTCTGTCATGACCTCCCAACAGGTTTCCCTAATTGTTTCACCTAGTTATAGTCCCTCTTCACAGACCTTCCAGGTTCATCTTTTGAAAGCACAAGTTAGATTTCATCAGTTCCTTGCCTAAAACCCTTCTGGTACATTCTAACAAACTTGGAGTAAAATAACAAACTTACAAGGTTCTGCATGATCAGAGCATTGCCTGTTTCTCTGACCTACCATCTTATTTCTGCATGCTCTGACCACCTAGCCTTTTTGTTTCTTGAATATGCCACTCTTTTCCTTGATGTAAGACCTTTAAGCTTGCTCTTCTCTTTGCCTACAAGACTTCGTGGAGATATTTCTATAGCTCACTTCTTCTTATTGTTCAAGCTTTTGTTCTGGTGCCATTTCTTCAGAGATTCCACATATGGTTGAGCCAGCCAAAACCAAACCAAACCCACAGGGTTTCCAAGGTTAGGTAAAGATTCCATAAATCTTTATGGAAACAGACTGCCACATCTTTCTCCCATGGAGCAGCTGGTAGGTTCAAACCACCCAGTGCTTAACCACTGCGCCACCAAGGTTCCTTTTTATGCTTGGGCAAGGGAGCGTAATACATATTGTAGACTTCGTGTATTTATATGTTTTCCAGCAGATGGCAGTAAAGTGTCTTGAAAAATGTCACCTTTTTGTAATTTTCACAAAAGTGCCATGTGGGCTAGCAGTGACCCTGTTAACAGAAAATGTTTCTCCTTGGTCACCCTATCTGAAACCTTCTAGCTTCTTTTAATCACCTTAAACTGCTTTATTTTCTTCAGAGCATCTGTCTCTATCTAAAATCCTGTTACTTTACTTCTTTAACCATATTTTTCATTACCTTTTTAGTCATATTTTGTGTGAACTAGTCTTCCACTTTACTATACTTCTTGTCTTTGTTCATGTTATTCTTTCTGCCTCAATTATTTTACATGTCTAGATCCTGTTCATAAAAGTCCAAACTCTAATGCTCCCTTTACTGTAAGTCTTTCTTGAGCTTTTTTCCCCTGTTCATGGCTGGAGAATATCGTTTCTCACTTCTAAATTTGTGTAGCTATCAGTTTCATAAAAGGACTGTACTTGAGAATTATTTGGGGAGTTTTTAAAAGGTATAGATTCCTCAGCTCCATGCTTAGAGAGTCTCTCGTTAAGAAGGTCTAGGCTACAGCCTGGAAAGTGGTATTTTTAAAAAAAGTACAACACACTGGTTATACTCTCATTTGACCCTTATCAAGCTCAAACTTTTATTGGAGTTATAGGTAATTGGTGCATATAACTCATCTCCCTTACCCGAATATAAGCAGTATGAGAGTAAAAATTGTGGCGTAATCATTTTTTTCCTCCATGGTTTCCTATTTGTAGAATTTAATATTAGCACGTCTTTTTTTTTCAGTAGTTCATTTTGCACCTGGAGAAAGTTCTTCAGAAGATGCAGTCATGATGAATACACCTGTGGTTAAAGCTGCCTTGGAAATGGGCTTCAGTAGAAAGCTAGTAAAACAGACAGTTCAGAGTAAAATCCTAACGACTGGGGAGAATTACAAAACAGTTAACGATATTGTGTCCGCACTTCTTAATGCTGAAAATGAAAAAAGAGAAGAGGAGAAGGAAAGACAAACTGAAAAAATGGCATCAGGTATTTGGGAATGTTAGTCATGTGCATTTTTTCTCAGTAGGGCTCATAGGACTGTTTCCCATGTTGCAGGACAGTTAGCAGCCCCCCCAGTCATTTCTAAACTATACCTCCTGTTCTCTCCATTGTAGGGTGGGGTGCTGCCTCTAATTGTGAACCATTGACTAGTTTTTTTTTTGTATGTTAGTTTTACAGTAAGATTCCCTGATGTATGCTAATGTGATTTTCTTGAGCTATATTGCATTTCTTCCTGATACATAGCACATTTATATTGTTTTGAAAAAGCAGGATTTAAAGTTGGATGTAGTTCTTATTTCTACTTTTTTTTTTAAGTTTCTTCAAATAATATTTTAAATAATATAATATTTTACTCCATAATCCTTGCTAGGTGATCCTTACATAAAAAAATAGAACTGATGATGAAATCTATCCAAAAAAATAGAACTGATGATGAGAACCTCCTCCTGAACCCAAGGGTAGTAGGGAACTGAGCTTGGTGTTCATCCAGATCATGTTAAGTCTCAGCCTCCCCAGAACAAGTGTTTTGTGTAATCATTTATTCCTTCAGCAAATATTTATTGAGCATGAGCACCTATACGAAATTCTGTGCTAGTCATGGTGATTGCTCGCAGAGAGTTTATAGAGTAGATGTGGAGTCCAGTGTGCAGAAGACAGGGTGAATGAGCCAACAGAGAGGTGAAGATTGCATATATAGCATAAATTGGGATATTTGGGTTGGAAGAAGATATTTTTTCTTTTTTTGTAAATAAAAATAGGAATAGTTTAAGAGAACCTTAGTGGCTGTGTAGCGAAATGTTTGAAAGTCTGAGTTCTAGACTGAGACAGATTGTGTTTAAATCTTAGCTATGTCAGTTACTAGTCTGGCAGTTTATTTAAGCAAGCCTCAGCTTTCTCATCTGTAAAATGGGGATAGTAACAGTACCAATTATATAGGGTTGCTATAGGAATTAAATGAGATGTTGCAAGTAAAACATTTTAGGACAGTGCCTAGCACATAAAAAAAGAAAAAAATTGTTTTTCTATTAAGTAGATTGATTTTGGAAGTGGAAGGGGCCTGGTGAAAGAAAAGGCCTGAGAGGAGTGAAAATATTTAAGGATTGTTAAGCAGTAAGGAAACCCAGCTATGGTTAAATGAAACCACTGTAATAAATCTAGTCTCCTTAGTTTTGTGACTTTCTCCCACTTTGTAGGGGTCAGAGAATGGCTTTAAATTATGGACTTGTCAAGGCTAATAGGGGAAAAGGATAAATAAGGAATAGGGGGGAAAAGTTTAGGGTGCTAGTAAGAGAACATTGAAACAGCTGACTGATAACCTAGACTAGATTAGGAGGTAATGATAGCAAGGAGACAGCTGCTGTGCTTGTATAATTGGGAATGATACAGAGATTTTGAAAAAGGCAAAAAATAAAACTATTAGCAGTAAGGTGAATTATTAAGGTAGAAAGATAAGTTGTCGTCAGAGAAGGGAATTCATAGTTTTGACATGAATAGAGAAGTTCACTTCTAGAAAAACATAAAAGGGGAAGAAAAGTAGACTTCTCTTTTTATATATTTCTCATTAAGCCTGTACCTTTTAGAGATGTACTTTTTTTTTTTTTTGAGGTGCCGTTACATATGGTGATTGGGAAACTGAAAGAAGGAGCTGTATGAAAAATACCTCAGTAATTCATGCTCATATTTATAAATATAGGATATTAACTTTGCAATTTTATATGGTTTGAACTGAAGGAAAAGACATTGATTTTTTTTTTAAAGGTTATGTTTGATTCATATGTAGTTTTTTAAAAAGAAACTGATATAGACTTAGGTATTTATTTAATAATAATGGTAGCTAACTGTGTGCCAGATATTATGCTAAGTGCTTTGCATATATTAACTTATCATCACAACTCTTGGAGGAAGGTGCTGTTATGAATCTCTTTTACAGGTGAGGAAACAGGCTTATAAGGGTTAGGGCATTTAGCTGTTAAGTGGCTAGGCCAACATTAGAACATGGATCTGTCCTGACTTCACAGTTCAAGCTGTTGACAACTACAGCACTGCTTCTTAAGTTTGGGTTGTTGAAAAGAACATTGGTTTATGAAGAATGTAACCAGTGTCACTGATCATTATGTCTAGAAACTGGAATGGGAGTGTGTTTTGCGGGTATATTGTTGCCAAAAATAAAAAAAAAACACTGGTTGAGGAGACCTGGTTCTGAAACTTATTCTCTCTGTGACCTTGGGCAGATTAGTCACTCATTTCTCAGTCTTTTTCTCCATGTCTGAAAGTGAGAGGCAATCATACCTGCCTTGACAGGATTGTTGTATCATATGAGACAATTTATATGAAGTGCTTATAAAACTCAAGTGATATAATGCAAATAGAAGTCAGTATTATTAATTCCATGGGGAAGACTATAGAGGTGAGAAATTTTTACTATCTTCTACAATTCTCTGTTTACTTTCAACAGAATAAAGGAAAAGCAGAGTTTTACGAGGTGTAAATATGGAGACATTTTTAAACTACAAAAACAGAGACCCCCGTATGTACTGTATAATATAGCTTAACTAAATTTAGAAGTTTTCTAATGACAGGCAGTAAAGTGCAAACAAACCTTTTTGTTTTTCTTTTTGCAAGCTCTTATTTAATGGCTAAATTGTCTGTAGAATCGGTTGTTAGTGACTGCATGTGTGTAACTGGAAAAGTTTAAAATCTAATGGATTTTTTTCTTTTTTCCTTTTTTAAATGAAGATGACTTGTCATTAATTCGGAAGAATAGAATGGCTCTCTTTCAACAATTGACGTGTGTGCTTCCTATCCTGGATAATCTTTTAACAGCCAATGTAATCAATAAACAGGAACACGATATTATTAAACAGAAAACACAGATACCTTTACAAGCAAGAGAATTGATTGATACCATTTTAGTTAAAGGAAATGCTGCAGCTAACATTTTCAAAAACTGTCTAAGAGAAATTGACTCTACATTATATAAGAACTTATTTGGTGAGTTTGTTGGGAAAATTGTTTTAGAAATCCTTAGGGTTATGTTCATCTCTGTCTTTGACAGACAAATCCAATTAGCAAAGTATAATCTTTAACTTGTTCCAAAAGAATGAAGTCTTTTATTGCTTAAAAAGTATGGCTAAATGTAACGATTCCTGATAATATTAACCAGAATCTACATTACTGAATAGGTAGTAGGTGAAAAAAAATAGGTGTGAGGTGACGCAGTCTTGTATTTGGTAGGTTGATGCTTTTTGTATATTTTTCTTTCCCCAGTGGAAAAGAACATGAAGTATATTCCAACAGAAGATGTTTCAGGTAAAACAAAATTAACCCATAAAACCAACATGAAATGTTACCATTTTTTTTTAATTTTTTTTATGGGAGGTAAAGTAGGAACTGCATTTCACTAAAGTTGTTTTTTGTTATTAGGTTTGTCATTAGAAGAACAGTTGAGGAGATTGCAAGAAGAGAGAACTTGTAAAGTGTGTATGGACAAAGAAGTTTCAATTGTATTCATTCCTTGTGGTCATCTAGTAGTGTGCCAGGAATGTGCCCCTTCTCTAAGAAAATGCCCTATCTGCAGGGGTATAATCAAGGGTACAGTTCGTACATTTCTTTCATAAAAGAAAACTAACTTACGTAGAAAAATCTTTAAAATATTGTTGGACATTTGAAGCTATCTGAAGTAAAGAAAGGAGCTCTGGTGGTGCAGTTGTTGACAGCGCTTGGCTGCTAACCAAAAGATCAGCAGTTCGACCCCACCAGCCCCACAGGAGAAAGATTTGGCAGTCTGCTTCCCTAAAGATTACAGCCTTAGAAGCCCTATGGGGCAGTTCTACTCTGTCCTGTAGGGTCACCACGAGTTGGAATCAACTCCACTGCCGTGAGTTTTGGTTTGGAAGTAAAGAAGGAATGATTGGTTTTTAGATTAGTAACATTTGTGTTCTATTCTGCTTTGGTACGAGTAGGCTTGTTTCCAAAAAAATAGTGTTTTCTATCACAGTTAATCTCAGTTTATTTGCAGGGGAAGATTTGTTTGATGGATTATATTGGTGTATGTGTGTGAATGTAGGCGTGATTAAAGGTGTAGACACAGTGCTGTTATGTATCATTTCAGAAGTTACTGGATTTGGAATTCTTTCTGAAAGTTGAGTATGGCGTAAGAATATAGTTTAAAAGAACTGGAAATCAGGAGCTCTGGAGTTTATCACAGTTATGGTGCCAAATTCTCGGTGTTTTTCACTTGTGTTGTAAAGTAGGGATTTTTTTTCTTATGGTAAATAAGCTTTTCTCTAATTTGTGAGAAACATCTTAATAAAAGTACTTTAAAAAGACCACATTTTCAATTTTTTTCCTTTAATTTAAATAGTAATTTCCATATATCTTCATAGGGTTATAAAGATTAAATTCAATAATATGCATAAACACAATACATGTTACATTGTAAGCACTCAAATGCTTGCTACTAAAAAATTGAGTTCTTCAAAGAAAATATAAAGAAATGTTCTAAATAGTAATGTGATTTATGAGATTCTTTTAAATGTCAATCTAGTTGCTTTGTATATAATGGCTATAGTGTAGAATAAAAAATTAGTATCAAAAAACTCTTAATAAATAAAATTAGGTAAATTTGTATTAGGATTTTCAAAAAATAATGCAATCATTTTGTCACATAGTTGTTGATTAGATGAGAAGGTGGGCTACAGGCAGTGGTAATACCTCCTTTTTTGGGCCTAATCGTATTTGATCTTTTCCATGTCTTCTGGCTGTATGGCAGATTTGTGAGGCCAGGTAGATAAGGTGGTCTACTATTAAAAAAGTCTCCAGTTTTCTCACCCCACTACTCCTTTGGATCCCTTTAAATAGAGACTACACTGGAAAAGGTGAAAATTTCTCTACCCCACCCCCATCTCTTCTCTTTACATTGTTTCCTTCCTGATGTGCTGATAAATGTAAGTTCAAATGCAGACACCTAGACGCAAGATAGAGTGAATCTTTCCCTGTGGTTATTGGAAGAATGTAAGGAGGGGATTTTTTTACTTTTTTCAAAATTTGTTAGGTAGAAAACATAAACTCTTCTCTGTCTTCCAGCAACCTGGAATTTAACAATTCCCGAAGGGATTATTAGCTCCTTCAGGGAGTCAAATTAAGAGGTCCTTTAGTCAAAACTACCTGGTATGTCTTAATCTTAGAACTAATCACCCTTGTTATCATGGAATGCTATTAAATCTTTTAAGAAACTTTTTTAATAAGAACCAGTTGCCATTGAGTTGATTCCAAGTAGAGTTGTGTCAGAGTAGAACTGTGCTCTGTAGGGTTTTCAATGGCTGATTTTTTGGAAGTAGGATGTAAGGCCTTTCTTTTAAAGTGTCTCTGAGTGAACTTGAACCTCCAACCTTTCACTTAGTGGCTGAGCTTTGTACCACCTGGGGACTCCTTGCTTAATAATAGTACATATTGAGGATCCACTGTGTGCCAGCTACTTTCAGCAGTTGAGGTGCTTGATACTCAAGTATATTAGCTCTAATTCTTTCAGCCCTTCAAGGTAAAATTGAACATGGGTCTGCCTGCTTTCATAGTTTGGGCTTTTCTGGCAGACTGTCCTATTAAGCTGTATTAACATTTTAAAAAATTGCATGGACTGCCATTTAAAAAATTTATCATCTTATTTAGGAGCCCTGGTGGCACAATGGTTAAGAGCTTGGCTGCTAACCAAAAGGTCAGCAGTTAGAATTCACCAGTCACTCCTTGGGAACCATATGGGCCATTTCTACTCTTTCCTGTAGGGTTGCTATGAGTCAAAATCGATTCGATGGCAACAGGTTTGGTGGCACAATGGTTAAGCATTCAGCTGCTAACTGAAAGGTTGGCAGTTTGAACCTACCATCAGCTTCTCAGGAGAAAAGACCTGGCAATCTACTCCAGTAAACATTATAGCCTAGGAAGCCCTATAGGGCAGTCCTATTCTGTCATATACGGTCACTATGAGTTGGAATCAACTTGACAGCAAACATCATCATCTTACTTGGCTTTATTCAAGGTACAGGTAGTCCCCATCTTATGACAGGGTTCCATTCCGATGACTCCACCCTAAGTTGGTTCTGACTTAAGTCGAATACCTCATTTTTTTTTTCATTATTACTGCCTTTTATTATCAGTATCTTTATAAATCATATTATAACATCTGTGTGTGAATATCTGAGAATGATAACAGCAAATTACGTGCTGCAACACTGTATGTAGTACATATTACTAATGATAAGATGTACCCAAAAGAAAAAAAAAAAAGATGGTCATAAGTGCAGTTCATCGTAACTCGAATACTTTGTATGTTGGGGACTACTTATAGTCTGTTTTAATAGTGTATAAGGACTTCGATTCTTTTCACATTCAGTAAAATAATGCATAAAATGTAAGTAAATGGTAATGTAATTAATAGTAGTGTAATTAATTCTTACACCCACTTGCTAAATTCTTATATGTGCCTAGGTCAGAGAGTAGGGTTTTAGACTCTTTTTCCTTATTGTTTTTACCCTCCTGATGATAATGATCATAGTGCCATAACATGTGCTCATTATGTTGAACGAATGGATGAATGTCACATGCTTTGTTGGGTTTATTTATTGCCCAATTTAATCCTTAAAACCCTGAGAGATAGCCCTGTTATTTTATAAATATGGAAACAGGCTCAGTGAAACAACAAAGATTGTGGAAAATATTTAATTGGTGTACTGTGAACTTTATATGGTCCAGGTAGGAGTGACTCCAAAACATTTTCATTAAAAAAAAAATCTCTTGCTGAATCATACTTCGGTTTTCTACTTTCTTATTTGTGTTTGGAAATATTTATTTCTTCACCCTCCCTCTTGATCTAAGTGGGAGAATTGTATAAGCTGTCATTTGTTAAGCTTTCTGTGTCTGTTGTCTTGGTAGTTTCTCATGTTCTCTCTGAAAAGAGCACGAAAGTGCTGGAGCTGAATAGACTTCTCTCCTCTGCTCGGCCCTCTAACAAACAAACAACCTAAGAGATCCTTTACTTGCTGGCTGCCATTTATTCCATAAATCAAAGGGCAACTGGCTGTCAGCTTGCAAGACAGACCTAAATTTTCTCTGGAACTGTAACATTTCAATCTACTATATATAAAACAATCCTATTAGCGTATAGTAGCAATTATTAAACCTTCCAGTCTCAGAACCCGTAAAAATTATTGAGGACCCCAAAGAGCTTGTGCTTATATAGTTTGTACCTATGTATATTTACCATGTTACTGCTTTATAGTGTCAGTGTAGCTCCTGCAGTCTCACTTTTTTATTTTGGGCTTTTTCTGTTCTGTTGATTGCTCTTGAGTTTAATGAAATGAAGTAAAACCATACTCTTGAAACTCTCAGATGGAGAACAAAATTTTATTCTAAAAATAGATCTCAGTAACAATGAAATACCAGAAGTTGGTCACTATAAGAAAAAAATGTAACAGGAATTTGCTTTAAAATTTTTTCCCAATAATTACAAAATTATCACTAATGTACTGCCAACTCTCATTTGTCTGTGTTTCAACGCATTTTATGGATTATCAAGGAAATTTTAAAATTCGAGATTGGTTTCTGCCTAATATTTAGACATACGTTTGGATTGCTTTTACTTTTAAGTAAATACATTCTTGAGAAATACAAACAAAAAATTTGTTAAAGTAAACATAACCAGGAAGATAAATCTATGCTTAAGAAATGTGTTCCAAAGCGAAATAAGTGTTTCACATCATCGTTTCCCTCTTTTTTGCAGATAACAAAAAACTGACTGCATTGAAAGTACTAGTATTTAAAATTAACAAATTCTAGTATTTCTGTACAGAGAAAAGACATAACTAAATTATTTCAAACCAAAGCTGAGGAAACTTGCAAGGCAAACAATGGACATTTAGTACTCAAAAAGTGGTCTTACATCTTCAAAGTGCTAAAGAAACAAATATTCAAGGAAAACTTCAGGCCTGTCCACAAAGTTCTGACTGACTTGAAGTACGGAAATATCAAGGATGCAGGAGATAAAACAATTTTTTTTAGTTAGAAAAAAGGTAGATTTAAAAGGCCCCTATTACTATAAAATATATCTTAACTATATTTGCAAAGGAATGAAAGCAGTGACTGAATGACCAGTTTAGGGCCAAGTTAGTAACATGCAACTCAACCTATGATCCCACATCTCTTTTCAAACTAATCTAAACACGTGTTTCATAAAATTTCTGCTACACTGCATGCACTATATAGATCTTATCCATATTTTGGATAATATTTATCATCCATATTGATCACATCAATTTGCCATAATGCACAGCAAATAAAAATGATCCCTTTATGTCCAAATTCTTGATAATCTGGCATTCTCTGCAAATTCAAGCCGATCACAAAAGTTATATTTTATCCCTGTTAAATGCAAGTGTATGTTCAGTAGGACATCTTAGCTTATTTTTAGGCTATCAGGTATTGGTGCAATTTACTTTGGCCATCTAAGATAGGGGTCCTATCTTAGTATTTAGTGTAACTAAATACCTCTTTTGTCAAAACCTGACCCTGAGTTTTAAGTGCTGGGATATAAACTGTAAAACTGAAAACACTCCAGAATACACTGGCTAATGCTGGTGCCCCTACAATACTGTGCTTTTTCTCCTCCCCTTCAGCAGAGGAAGAGGAATAGTCGGGGGGAATGCCCAAATAAGGAAGTAGGAAATTCCCTGTCTTAAAAATTCCTCTTTTAAAACGTCAATAAGAATTTATTCCAAAATACATTTTTGTTTGTTTTAGTATAAAAATGCCTTTTCCCCAAATCTTTAAGTAAAATTGACACTGCATGAAAAAGCTACATTTTCATCCTGAAGCTTTTAGTAGTCTGCGGCGGACCCCATAATCCCTGGCTTGATAAACACAGCATTAATCTATAGTTTCAACTATAAAGAGTTCAATGTTGTTTTGGAAACCATGTAAAAGATTTTTTAAGTTGTGTTTACACTCCATTAGACATTTCTAAATATTGAAAGCAGCTCTACACCTCTTAAAAATATTCACTAAATACAAAATTAACATTAACAAGTGAATGTGAAATAAATGCAATTTCCAGTGGCGACAACATTCTTAACAATAGCAAATATTCTACCTTCTAGGAGTTCTTTCCTATAATGCCAGGTTACTTAACACTAGCAACTAAGTCTTTAAAACACTGTCATGTTAAACATTACAATTTGTTGAAATTTTACAGCAAAAAGCCAAAGAGAAATTTATATCAGCTTACACTGAAAGTTCAAAAGAAGTTAATAAAAATACCGTCTATCCAGTGCTCCAATGGATCTCTAACACGGCTAAGCCAGGTATTGTTTCTGGGTTAATTTGAAGATTTGTTTTTAGATGTGTGTTAGTTTCTAAACCAACGAGTACACTTTAAAACACATAAAATGATGCTTTTTGAAGAGACACTTAAACTAAAATTACATTTAGGACCTGGTTTACTCAATTGTATAATTTCAGCTGTGTGGCATTAGTAACTAGGATATACTCAGCACTGAAGTTCTTTGCGTGAGCAACAAAAGCACGCAAAATCCTGAGTACTGTGACAAGCTCCTTATTTGTATGCCCAGATGGCATCCTGCCTTTAAGTGATGCTGTCTTCCAATACTGGCCCTAGATGACCAATGCCACAAGAAAATGGGAGAGGGCTTGCTTGTCTTTACTATATGTGTGCGAAAAGTGAATATAATCGCATTAATTGTTTGCCAGCTCCAAATGTTCATTAAAAAAACCCACACCAAACTCCCTTTACTTTTAGTAAGCAAGAGGATTCTTTACAGATTTATATAATACACTGAATCATTATACGCATGGCCTGTTTCTACAAGTTCCAAGAAGAGAATATTTAAGCTAAAAATAAACCAAAATTAATTGATAGGGCTGCATCAATCTTTCTTCTTTCCTTGGTCCTTGGATTTCCTTAAATGATGGCATCATGTTCATCACTGTAATATATCAAAGGTTATAATTACTTTCGATCTTATATTAGTATCAAAATTACTTATATACTCATACTTGCAAGTGAAGTAACCTTAGAACAATTTCAAGTTTCAGAATCAAAATGAATTGTCATTGCCCTACATAAAGTTTCTTATGTGAAAGTATCTGGTAAAAACTGTAGTGGTTAAGGACTCAAACAGTAGTTAAGGTTGTCAAACAGACAACCCCTGCTCTACTTCTGAGTGGCTGTGTGACTTTTCCCCAGTTAGTTATTATAACCCTCTTTAAAAAATAAAACAATACTAACTAGATAGTAGATAAGAATTAGGTGAAGGGAAGGACAGCACACACTACAGGGGGAGTCAGCACAACGGGACTAAACCAAAGCTAAGAAGTTTCCTGAATACAATCAAACACTTTTAGAGACAGAGTAGCAGGGGTAGGGGTCTGGGGACCATGCTTTCAGGGGACATCTAGGTCAGCTGGCAATAACAAAGCTTATTAAGAAAATGTTCTGCATCCTACTTTGGTGAGTGGCATCTAGGGTCTTAAAAGCTTGCAAGCGGCCATCTAAGATGCATCAATTGGTCCCAACCACCTGGAGTAAAGGAGAATGAAGAACACCAAAGACAAGGAAAATACTAGCCCAAGGGACAGAAAGGGCCACATAAACCAGGGACTTCATCAGCCTGAGACCAGAAGAACTAGATGGTAGCCGGCTACCACCAATGACTGCCCTGACAGGGAACACAACAGAGAGTCCCTGATGGAGCAGGAGAAAGGTGGGCTGCAGAACTCAAATTCTAGTAAGAAGACCCGACTTAATGGTCTGAGACTGCAGGAACCCCGGAAAGCATGGTCCCTGGATTCTCTATCAGCCCAGAACTAAAACAATTCCCGAGACCAACTCTTCAGACAGGGATTGGACTGGGTTGTGTGACATAAAGTGATACTCGTGAGGAGTGTCTCTTAGCTCAAGTAGATACAAGAGACTACACGGGCAGCTTCTGCCTGGAGGTGAGATGGGAAGGCAGAGAGGGTTAGGAGCTAGTTGAATGGGCATGGGGAATCAGGTGGAAAGGAGGAGTGTGCTGTCACAGTATGGGGAGAGCAATTAGGGTCACATAACTATGTATAAATTTTTGTATAGGAGACTAACTTGAAATGTAAACTTCATCTAAACTACAATAAAAAATAAAAAAATAAAAAAAACCACCATTGCTTGAGCATTTACTATGTGCCAGGTGTTATGCTAAAGACTTTACATCCATATCTCATGTAATCATCCCAGTAGCCCTATGCAGAAGGCACTTTTATTATCTCATTTTGCAGAGGATCAAACGCTAAAGACTTAAGTGAACTCTTGTGTCCAGAGCCTGAGCTCTTGACCACTGCACACTAACAAGCACGGGAAGGCACCCTGTTAGTCAACAGCAGAACCAGGGCTCCAAACAAAGTCTGTCTACCCTGAGCCTTATCTCTAACCACTTCACTCCACTGTGTCTCTATGCAACTCTAAGAAACAAGGAGCTAAATTTTAACTCTCTGTTATTATCCAATCTGGTGCAGTGGGTAAAGTGCCACGGCTGCTAACCAAAAGGCTGGCAGTTTGAATCCATCACCTGCTCCTTGGAAACCCTATGGAGCAATTCTGCTCTGTCCTATAGGGTCACTATGAGTTGGAATCAACTGATGGCAACCGTTTACTATCCAATAAGTGAAAACTAGAAATGTTCATTATTCCTAGGTAAAGAAATGCTTATTATTCCTAGATACAGAAGGTCTCAGTTCCTTTAATGGGACCAACATTAAGCCCTTATGATATGCCTTTTTTTTATGGCTTCAAAGGAACTACTGACTTTAAAACGCACTATTTTTTTTTCTAATGTAGCACTAAGAAAAACAGTAGTTAAGGCTGTCAAACAGACAATCCAGTTTAACATTTGACTTGTTTAACAGCCAATTAAGCTATAATAATGCTTTCTCATCCCACTGACTGTAAGATATAATTTCAGAAATGTTACAGTGTGGAAAACAACAAAAAGGTACATACAGACTCGCTTAAATATGGTATTTTCATCATCTACTGACTCCTATATGAAAATAAGACTTCTATTAGAATCAAATTCTGCTTCTGCCAGCACAGTTCCCTTACTGTGGGGGTTCTGGGCTCTGTCTTCTTTCACAGTGCCTGCATGCGGCATTATCTGGTCATGTATACGTAAGAAAAATTAGTCCACAAAGCTAAAATCACATATTTTTTAGTTAAGGTGGGTTTAAAATGAAAATAGCACATTTTAATTTAATTGCTTCACTATTTAACAGCCTTAGCCATATCAACAAATATTGACCTTATAAAAAATGATGTTTAATTTACTGTAATCAAAATGTGCCTTCTGTGTAAGTGAAATTTACCAAGAAAACATGAGAAATACTTCTAGAAATATGTAGTGGTTTTAAAAAATATTTCAAATTTTAAGGCATTTCTAAGTTAACACTATTTGATCACAATTTCCTTTAGGTATTTTTGTTCTTTTTGTGAGTTGATGTAAAAAAGAAGAGAGAGAATTAATGTATCTGAATATGCCTTTAATCTGGCGAAATACCACCTTGATATTCTTTTAAAGTGAGTTTAGTATGATGAATAAATGCAAGGTAACTTTTAAGTATGACTTTTTTTCTTAGATTATCACTTTTGTTTAAATATTATTAGCAATATAACTTTTCAAGTCCATTTTCACTGATAAGACTGTTTTATTCAGAAGTTTTGTCAATGAATTGAGAAGCTCAGAAACTTTCCATATTCTTATTTAGTACCTGTTATAAATTAGTACCTCTTTAATGTATCAAGAAGTTTTATTTGCTTTTGTATGCATTGACACATGTCTAGTGTCAAAGGAAAGGCTCCCTCAAATAGTGTAATATTTCTCAAAACGTGTCCCACACAATACTACTTCCAAGAGATGTACCCTGAAAACAAAAAGAGGAGGTTGGGGGGAGAGCTATTCATTCAACAAATACTTGAATAAAAAATTTGAGAAAAGTTTTATACTAGATTCCTCTCCTGGAAATTCATAATGTACATCAGCATATTAAAGGCTTAGAGAAGTCTAGTAGTAAAGTGTTTTACTTTGCTCAATCCAGCATTTTCCAAATGGTTTTGATGTGGAAATTCTGTGTATAGGACACCTATGTGTATGACAACTGTTAACCCACAGAGCAAATTTTGGAAAATGGTTGTTTATTCTGAGGAATATTTTAGATTAACAAAAAATAAATCATGACCAATCATTACTTAGAACAATATTGTGTACAACTCCTAAGACAGACATTAGTAAGCTTTCTTAGTTCCCAAGAAGAGTACCTAAAATGATCAAAAGAACAAACTGGCTCTGTACATATAAGACTCAAAAGACAAAGAGAAAAAGGACTTTGTTGTAGCAGCAAAAGCTGGGAGGTGATACCTTCAAAAACCATCAATCTTATAGAGCTACATTTAGGGTGAACATGGTTTGTTGATTGGGGCTTGCTGATAAAGCTCATCTGAAAAGGTAGTTTTACTAATAGCAACTCATTTAAAACAGTAAATCAACAGAGAAAAGTGAGGCTGTTTGAAGAATTTTAGTTTTGAAGTCTTTGTCATAGAACTCAAAAACCATATTTTTACGGAGGAGTCTATTTAGTGCTACCAGTAGACACAGGACATACTAGGTCAATAGCCTGGTAAGACCTGATGTGGTATTTCTTATAATTAGACGTATGAGCAAATGAAGGGTTAGATGAACTTGGGTCTCTGGGACAAAAGCATGACACTAGTAAAATACAAACATTTTTATAGGTACATACATACATTTTCATTTGCAAATAATTGTAATCACAAGCTTGTACGTAAACAATTTACTATGGGCTTAGAGAGGTAATGGGAAGTAACTCATAAATCTACAAATTACTCATCCCTGAGATGAACACTGACTTTGATATTTAGTCATGGTATTCAAATTAAAGAAATACAGAAATGAACAACAACAAAAAATGTCTCAATCAAAACTTACATGGTTCTATATCGAATGCCTCTTCTGGAATAATATGTTTTGCATCCAATGTAAAGAATAGATAGAACTCCCAGTGTTAATACAATACCACCAACAAAGCTGCCAGTATCAAATTTTGATCCTTTATTTTCTTTAAAATTAATACTCGCTGTGATTAAAAGAAAACAAAAACAAAAACACAGGCTTTAGTGCTTTTTTTTTTTTTTAAACACTGTAATAAACTAAAACTTTCTGAATGTTTGTGTAGGAGCACTGAATTGGGGGTGAGGGGATATCCAGGCATAGACAGCTGCTTTCTAGCATGCTTTGTGTCCAGTCACTGCCTGGATCTAGTTTCCTCCATTCTGTCGATACAGGTCCTTAACTGAAACCCCATGATCTTAAGTTCATGCAAGTGTTTGATAGTGCTGTACTTGGACAGGCTACTAAAACCCTAGAAGCAGCAAGAATGGGACATTTTTTTCTTCTATAATCTATGAAGAGTTAGTGCCTGAAGAAATGAGGCCTGGGTAACACAGCTGTGATCCTGACTAGATCCAATATAAGTTAGTGGTTCTAACTGAAATTTCTCATTTTGGAACAAATTATTGGGAATTTTAACTATTTTGGTTTTACTGCTTCAAGAGACCCTGGAACAGCTGGGAAAGTTGATTTTAATAGATAAGTTACAGTAATGAAGAAAATATACAGAGTAGCAGTATATAAAAACATAAAAGGAAATCATAAAGTCTGCTACTTGTTCTGATAAATATAATCACTAGCTTTTAAACAGAACTTCAACTCTGGATAACTTCAAAGAGAATCTTCTTAAAAAGGTTTTTGAATTCATGGTCTTACAGGAATTATACTTTAAACAAATTCAAAAAATAAAGAGTGCTTTCTAATACTATGTCCTATATACTAATACTATTTACATGATTATATCCGCTACCACTTTAAAATATATTTATGGTCCAAATGAATTATAACCAAAGTTCACATTGAGTCCACCCAATTCCTTTCCAAAATGAGGTAGAAAGAGTAAAATGTATGACAAAATTTCCCACTACGTAAAATAAAATTCCGTTAGAATAAATTACTTATTCATAGATGGGTTATATACTGTCATTATTTCACGTTTAAAAAAAAAAGGGAGAAGAATACTAGGTCCATTGACTCTTTTTCTGATCTTCACATCTAATTTATAAAAAATCACTGTCTAAATCTATATACTTATTTTTGCAGAAAGGAATGATAAGCTAAAAGTGGCATTTAACAATTATTTTCAGCAGAGGAAAAATCAGTCAATTTCAATACGTACTTGTTACTGATGAAGAAGCAGATGTCACCGAACTATTGTGGGTGGTGGTCATTGTGGATGTTAACATCTGAGATGTGCTTTGTGAAATACTTGTTCTGTTGGGGGCAGGCTTTACGGTGGTGGAAGTTGTAATTGCTGACGTGTGAGATGTTACTTTGGGTTTCGAGGTGGTAACTGATACGTTGCTTGAGACTGAGGAAACTGCAGTTGTTGACAGTTTCACAGTGTTGTTGCAGGATGGGTTTTTATCGCTGGATAGCACTTGTTGGGGATTCCCTGCAAGAATGTGAAGAAACATTAAAAATGTAACTATGACTTAGGAGATTAAGATCCCACTTCATTGTGACTTTCATGATTACACATAAAGAGAGATTAACAAATCCAGCAGCATGAAAAATATTTATTCCATTAGTACTTTGCACTATACTGCAATAAAATATCTCAAACTAGTAAAATACTCAACAGGAACCGGCCTAAATTTACATAAAGTTAGGAATTTTTGTGAAGATATGGAAAACTTAAAATCCAGAAGACTAAGTTCCTTCAGTGTAGGGATGGTGTCTTTCTCATCTCCGGGTCTGAACATCTTAACATACTTCCTATCAAGTAAGGGGCCTTCGACAAATATTTGCTGAATGGATGAAAAACTAATGCATTAAAAAAAAAAAAGGCTTTTTAAGTTAAAGCTGCTCTGCCACATCCCTCCAAAGACCTTTGAGGACAATCAATAGCTGCGTGTTTCTAACTCTGTCACTGGGATGTGAACACGAGTGAAATATTCTTTGTAAGGGTAAAGCCAACTTCACCCAATGCAGTAGGAAGCGAAATACCACAGTGTAATATAGCTGGTTGGAAATTTCATACTGGCAACCATTTTCATAGTTGTAAGGATATTTCTAAAACTACTTCTGAAGGCTTTAAAAATCCAAAAGCCAAATTATGTATAGGAGAAATCATTAATGATGATTTAAAATAAACAACTAACGGTGGAGAGAATTAACCACTGGGCATACCCTCTCCTTCCCCCAGGGAGACAGGGAGAGCAGCAACAATGCCTCCGTGATCCCTGCACCACCCCTGCCGTCATGCACTAAAAAGTGATTATTTCAGGAATTATCATCCTATCTCCCACAATTATTTTGGACTTATTCTTGAAGGACTTCAGTATTTTTTTCCCCCCAATTTAAATGTATAAATAGCACTACTTATTTGCATATCAGCTTTTACTATTCAAATTCCTATTTTACCCCTCGACTTTGGGTCTCTATTATGTTGTCTCTTTGAACTGAGTACTATCTTGATTAAAAAAAGAAAAAACACAAAAAACCCAAAGGAATGAATACTTCTGTACTAATTATAAATTAAGTAGATGATATAAATGCCATGAACTTGAACTAATCTTTTATTATTCAATTCTGAATGCTCTATGTAGATATAAGTAATACACTTTAGCACTGAAATAATCACCTCTTTTTTTAAACTGGTGAATGAATTCTATTGTAATGAAATTCAATACAGCAAAGAACCATCGTTTATATCATATCTTTAGAACAGAATGATCTTTGCAGAGTAAAACAATGAACAAAATGCTGCTTTTGGATTCAACACACACACTCAGCCTACTCCCCCTCTCCCTGCCATCATAAAAAATTCCTCAGAGATACTGTCCAAAGTCACATGGGCAAAAATTGGGAGCTGCAATAGGTTAGTTCTCCAACTAAGAAAATCTAAATTTGCTGAATAAACAGCTTAGTAGCTGAAAATGTCTACAGACTGATAAAACACACAAAAGAAGTGCTGTATTAAACTTTGTTTCATGATGGGTAAATGTACAAACTGCAATGCAAGGTGCTCTCTTCAAGGTTAGAACACATACATCTGGTGACCCAACCCCCTTGTTGTGTAAAATAATAAGTACTCATTTCTTTCCCTCTGCAAGTGGTACTGTCCCACCACTGAAGTCTGGCCTTCCCTCTTCCTTAACTGATTAGCACCTCTGGGGGTGGCACAGTTAGCACCTGCATAGGACACTTTTACAGAGATGTCAGAATAGACTGTCCACCCAGGATGTGCACAGGGGGAAACCCTATTTGACTCTGCCTGTCTGAGCTAGTCAGTCTCCTCCAGCCACTGATAATCTGAAGTTGAAATGGCCTAAAGAGGGTATGTTGTTGGAAGGGAGAGTGTCAGTGGGCTGTGTCTGCTCCCGCCTCTGCCCATGGTAGAAAAACAGGAGAACACTACTCCTCACCTCAAACCAAGCTGGAAAGACGTTGAAGGAACCACCTGAAGAGCTGGGCAGGTATCTCCTGGACTTAGAGGGACAAGAAACTAGAATTTGACTCAGCTTGAAAAGTAACTCTAAAGGTGAGACGCTGGGGCTGAGCTGTCTCTACCCATCAGTAGAGTTCAAAGGCTCCGCTAGGAGTAGACTGTATCCACACTGACTGCAAAGGTGCTCACTTGCCATAAACCACTTAGACCTTATGGAAGAAAGCGGCCTGGGGGTGTCAGAAAAGACAGCCTCCCAAGAGAGTATTGCCTAGAAAGGTGAGGATAACCAGCGGGGGGCAGAGGGGAGGAACACCGCAAGCTAGGACCCAAGGAAGTATGGTGAGGGTTAGCTGGAGGAGAAGCCCTGCTGCATCAAGAGGGTTGCTGGGGAAGGCCCAGGCAGGAAAAAGAGGGTCTCCCAGAAATCTGCCAAAGAGAAGGACATGCTTGTCATCCAGAAGGCCCCTACGCCAGATGAAACATCCCAGCCATAGCCCACTGGCTTTTTTTCCCTTAAACTCCTCTAGACCTGATCCCGTAAAGGTCAAAAACAGCTACAGTGAGAGGAAGAAGAGGTGGAGCAAGGATGGAAGCCAACAATGCCAACTTTCCCACGGCAGACATCCAAGCCGAGCTGGTGGAGGGGAGAAGTTCCAACTCGGAATCACTGTAGTTTTATTACTCTGACATTATTCTGGATAGGAACTGTACCCTACTAAATGCAACTCATTCAATAAACTGGATATGCTCTCTGAAACACCTCAGCTAGGACAGGTGGGAGGGTGGAGCCACCTGGCAAGGGGTGTATGTGACACATAGTTGTCCATGCTCAGGTTCAAGCTTTTTCTTTTCATTGATAACAAAATGTCTCTCTGCACAACTGGTACCCGTGGTTGTACACTGAGCTGGTTCCATTTCCAGATCTTTTAAACTCATCACTGTGCAGTGAGTCCCCAAATCTCATAGTTATTTTTAAATAGGATAGTAGTAGCTTTGCAGTCCCTATTACAATTGTCAAAAATACAGAGATATTTAAGAAAATGATCATAAATTTCTAGTGGCACAGACTTATTCTGAGCGGTCTGTGATTCCAAGTGTGGACCTGCAGCTAGAGTAATACTTGTCAGACCACTCTCAAAAACTGTTTAAATAGAACTTGGGAGCATCTATAGATTTCTATCAGATATGTAAGAATCTCTTGGTCTTGACTCCTGGTTTCAACTAACAATTACAGGAAAGGGAAGTGAAGGACTGTAATAACAGCATCCATGTACCTTCTTCTCAGAGGCTGCAGTGTTCAATCCACAATAAGAGGAACCAAATAAAGAATAAACACACGTGTATAAGTGATGTTTTGGCACAGCCATAAAAATATTCAGAACAGTCAAATCAGCTCGCCGTTCCTGTTCTGTGGTAAAAGATCTATTCCTCTAGCCCAATTTTTCTATGGTAGAATTAGAGCTTCTATTTATTGAGGTCTTCTCTTTACCAAGTGCTGCTGATACTTTCCATACGGGAGGTAGCATGCACAGTGGGAAAGAGCTCAAGCTCTGGACCAGTTGGCCACTTACTTGCTGGTGGACTGTTATGGATTGAATTGTGTCCTGCCGAAATGTATACTGAAATCCTGGCCATATGCTGTTATGATTTAATCATGAGATTAAATCAGTTGGCCTTGGGTAGAGCAGATTATCTTCCATAATGAATGCAATGTAATGTAATGTAATGTAATCCAGTGTAATGTACTGAATCAATCAGCTGAGGTCATACCAGTGTAGGGTCAGTCCTAATTACTTCTGAGTTATAAAAAAAGCAGAACAGACAGATACACACACACATAGGGGGAAGACAAACACCATGTAAGGATAGTATATAAGCCAAGGAGCCATGCAACGCCCAGGACAACCTTCAAGGAAGGAATTGACAAGGCCAAGACCCTGATTTGGACTTTTAGCCTCTAGAACTGTCAGAAAATAAATTTTTGTTCTTTAAAGCCACCCACTTGCGGTATTTCTGTTACAGCAGCACTAGGAAACTAAGACAGGAACCTTAAACAAGTTACTTAACCTCTCTGAGATTCACTACCCTTCCTTATCCATAAAATAAGAATATTAACAGTACTTACCTCATAGAAGTTTGTGGGAATTAACTGCGGTAAGTTCTGTGGAGCGCTTAGTACAGTGTCTGCCACGGAGGAAGTGCTCAATGACTGTTTACTCTTTCCTATCATTAGTTTCATTAAATGTAACCGCACCTACAGAGCTGCACCAGAAAGCTACCTACGGGAGGCTGAGCAGTAGGCGCTGTTTCTCATGATTGTCATCACCACCACCTGAGTGACACCATATTTAAGAAGATGCTGTTGTTCTTCTTAGTTGTTGCTGTGTTGCTTCTAACTCATGGCGACCCCATGTGTGCGAGGAGAACTGCTTCATAGGGTTTTTAAGGCTGTGTGTGACCTTTCAGAAGCAGATCATGAAGCCTGTCTTCTGAGATGCCTCTGGGTGGGTTTGAACTATCAACATTTTGGCCAGTAGTTGAGTGCTTAACTATCTGCGCCACCCAAGGACTCCTTCAAGTCCTTGAAGATGGTACTGGGGATCCCAAAAGGATGCTATTAGGGGTATTTTCAATCTATCAATACAAATATCTAAAAAGAAAAAATGTGACACCCCAAGCCTTTCTGTATTAACACCAGTCAGCCACCTTATTATTGCAACAAGGCCAAGGACACTCTGAAGCAGCCTATTTTTATCTAGTACCAAATACGAGTAGTCATCTACTTCTACATGTGGATTTATTTCAACTATCTTTGTATAATCTTGCTCTGTTGAAATATTTTCCTTACTCCTGGAAAGGGGATACTCACATAGGTTACTCATATAACCTTGAGTCCAAAAATAGCTAGGTGCCATTTTTTCCCTTTTAACCTAAATATTTTAAAGTTAAGGATAACATGGTTTTTCCATCAGGGTGTCAAATACACACCTAAACCAGACTTG